CCCCACAGCAGGACAACAAAGCCTCTGAGACACACCCCGAGTCACACCCTGCCATCCCTGAGGGACAAGGGGATTTTTACTACACAGCCAGCTTCTATGGGGGCAGCGTGTCCGAGGTGTACAAACTGACCCGAGCCTGCTCTGCAGGGCTGCTGCAGGACAGAGAAAATGGCATTGAGACCTCCTGGCACCACGAGAGCCACCTCAACAGGTACCTCCTGCAGCACAAGCCCACTCGCCTGCTGTCCCCAGAGTACTACTGGGACACAGAGCTGAGCCCCAGCAGCATCCAGGTGAAGAGGATGTGCCCTGTGCACCAGCACAGCCAGGGGCAAGCTCCTCAAACAAAGAATGTGAGGCCTTTCCTCTTCACACCCCCACTAAACTGAGGCTCAGGGGCAAAGGAAGTTTCCCTCTGTTTGTAGGACTGCACACATTTTCTCACATAAAGTGGGTCTCCTTAGCTAAAGACCACTAAACCTGTTGCTGTTATATTTTTGGGAATTTTTTTTTTTGCTAGGATACTAAAGAAAAACTCGTGACTCTCTCCTCCAGAGTCTGACACAGCTTGGACCCCGATTGGCCAATAAGTAAAAACAATTCACATGAAATAAATGAAACAATCACGTACCACATTCCAAAGCAGCAAAACACAGGAGAAGCAAATCAGATAATTATTGTTTTCCTTTTTCTCTGAGGCTTCTCAGCTTCCCAGGAGAGAAATCCTGGGCACGGGATTTTTGCAGAAAATATGGTGGCAGGAGGACTGGCTGTGGGTGAGATGTACCAGATCAAAGATGTTTCACTGCTGTCACACATCAGGAAACTCCTGGTGACAGCATGTGACTGAATGAGCCTGAGGAGCAGGCTTGGCATGAAGCAATGTAGGAACACCTCCCTCGACCTGCTGGCTGTCAGATTAATCCCTTCTCTGACTCAGAGATGGGGTAATTGAGAGGTGTTTTAAAGACTTTTTATTGCATTTTCAGTCTCACGTGAAGAATGAGATAATATAGATGTTATAATTCACGCCATTACAATCAGAAGCCAATTATTTCTTAATTACAATACATTGTAAGCCAACTTTCTTGGCCTACCAGCTTTTGCCACACCATGCTGTAAATGCCTTAAAGCAAATAATCTAAAATTACCCCTTGTGGGTCCTACTACAATGCATCTTTCACAGTTCTACTTCTCCAAAGTGTCTAGTGTTACTTGCAAGGCCACAGCTGGCCATGTTTTTATCCAGACCAGGATGAAACTGGCTTGATGGGCTGAAGCATGCATTGCCAGGTCATGCTGAGCTTCCATCCCCTCCCCAAAGCCCCACGTCCTTCTCCTCAGGGTTAGTGTCAGTTCATTGTCACTCGGACTGTTCCTGAGCTGGGGATGTCCTGACCCACGTGTGGGACCTTGCACGTGGCCTTGCTGATCACGAGATGGCACAGGCACACCTCTCAAGGCTTTCCAGGTCCCTCTGGTGCCTTGAGAAGGCTGACCCAGAACAGAGACTAGACAGAGCTGAAGAATACAGGTTTATTTATTAGGAGGCCCCAATGGATCCACCTTGGGCAGCACAAGAGCCCAGCCAGGGCTGCACCCCAGGTGAACCAAAATGGTCACAAAATGCCCCAGTGGTCACAGGGTCTCTCACTTCTATAAGTTCTGCTCCATTTACATATTGGAGTTAATTGTCCAATTACAGCTTCAGCCCATGAAGTCCCATCCTTTTTGGTTTTTTTCTCTCTTCAGCCCATGTTGTTTGTGCTCTTGGACCTGAGATTTGGATCATTTACGTCAGACTTCTGCAAGCAAGAGATGTTTAAAATGTATGTTTGTTTATGTGATCTTTAACCCAATCACTGCAGTAAAACTTTACTAGCCTTCTTAAAATAGTATATAACTGTTTGTATCCCACAATAAAATCAAATTCTTTGACCATGTCAAAATCTTCCCTGTCTGTCCTCATCCCTGACAGGTTTCCTTCCCCCTTCCTGGCCAGCAGGGCACTGTGAGGAGCAGGAAAGGCCTTGGCTCTGTGCAAGCACAGCTCAGCAATGAAAACCCCTAATGTTTACATGGAGATTCTGGGGAGAAAAAGGGAATCAGTACATTGACAGGAGAGGAAATATTTTCATCTACTTCTTTATGTGCTGGTGATGGTGAGAAAGAGGAGGTTTGGTCTGAGTGTTTCCAGGACACTCAGTGATGTTTTGCTATCACTGTGCTCGTCATCAAGGTGAGAAGATAAAGAGACAATAAAACTACAAAGACCAAAGGGTGCAAATGAGAGATTCCAGAAAAACCCAGGAGTCTGAATTCATTATATTTTACACTGTGAGACATCCTGCCCTGCTTGTTCTATTACAGATATTTTTGTTTTCCACCAGAGCATGTGGTTTTGAACTTCTGAGCAGTAGCTTTGGTTAAAGGAACTTACACCAGCCAGGAGTGGTACCCATGATCTGTCTCTTGCTGGGAAGTGATTGTTGCTTCCCTTTAGTCCTTGCTCCTGGGATTTGTTCATCTCTGGGCAGAGGCAAACCAGGCCTCTTAGGAGGCAGGTGCCTCTTGGCCTCATGAGCACCAGGCAGTGTCCTGACAGCCCCTGGAGCTGTTCTGAAGTTTTTTAAAACTCCTAACTCTCTCCAGCTCTGATGTTACAAGAGCGTAGCACCAAAGCAGAGAGTATTCCCAGTCTCATCTAGATTTGTGTTGATGTGATCCTGCCATTCCTTCAGAAAAGGAAACATTTGTGTTTGGTAAAAAGCTAAGAGCAATTAGCTGGAGCTAACAAGAACTTCTGCAATTAGACTGACTCCTGAGATTCAGAACTTTCCTAGCTGGTGATTTGCCCTCTCTCCAATTCTCTACAGCCCAGTATCTCCTCTGGGAGGGACCCAGCTAAACACAAAGGCCTAGTTAAAACTTGGAGAAACTCTAATGCCTTGGGACATCTGCACTCAGAGTCTTGGAAAGAAACTTCATGGAGAAGAGGGAATAGGCAGCCAGGGATGTGAGCAAGGGCACAGGGGAAGAGCTGGAGACACTGAAAGCCAGAGGGAAACTCAAGATACTTATAATATTAATGACTGCAGACATGCTGCAGTGAGTTCCTCATCTGTCCCAGTGTAAGGTCAAAATAATCTGCTCATTAACACAAGGGCAATAATTGCCTTGTTTCAGGGCAGGTTTGCTGTAAGAGCTGAGGCACCACAGCTGCTCTGTGCAGGGCTGACGACAGAGGTCAGCTCTGGGAGGACAGATGGGCTGTCAGCAAGGCACATCTGCAAGGACACAGAACCACAGAAGCTCAGGGCTGGACGGGACCTGCCAGGACCATCAGAGCTCCTGGGCCTGCACAGGACACCCCAAGAGTCACCACACCTGTGGGACAGCATTGTCCAGACACCCCAGGAGCTCAGAGGGACTTGGTGCTGAGCCCACTCCCCTGGGGAGGCTCTTCAGTGCCCAGCCACCCTCTGGGTGAAAAACATTTCCTTGATATCCAGCCTAAACCTCCCCTCAGTCAGCTCCAGGCTTTTCCTCAAGTCCTGTCACTGTCGTGAGGGTGAAGAGCTGGACACCTGCCCTCACTGCCCCTCAGGAGCATGGTGCAGAGCACCATGAGGCCTGGCCCCTGGCTCCTCTCCTCCAGGCCTACAGAGCTCTACAATTTCAAGAAACTTCTCCACACATGATCACAAACGACATCACTGTCGAGTGCAGGGCCTCAGAGAGGATGAGAATCCCTCTTGTGAGGCCAGGCTGAGGTAGCTGGGGCTGGTCAGCCTCCAGAAGACTGAGAGGGGACCTTATCCCCATGTAAAAGTATCTGCAGGGAGGTTGTCAGTGATGAAGAGAGACAGGGAAGACTGATTTGGTGTTCAGAATCTGATTTTATTGTGGGATACAAACGCTTCTATACTGTTTAGGGAGGCTAGTAAAGTTTTACTACAGTGATTGGGTTAATAATCACATAAACAAATATACATTTTAAATATCTCTTTCTTGCAGAAATCTGATGTCGTTTGCTTTTTCCTGTAAACCCATCTGATTTGATCTTCTTGCAGTCTTGATTTAATCCTCAAAGTTCTGTTTGCTATTCCCACGTTATCCTATTACCAAATCTCTTGTGCTAAGCAGACCCAAAGTTCATAATCTGTCTTGTGTCCCCCAACATCCCAACAGGAGGTTGTGTACAGGGCATTCCCCCCACAAGGGCTTATCTGTTGTTTGTCACATAAATCAAACAAATTCTCCTGTAGAGAGATCCTTTGGGCCCTTGCTTATTGGTTATTTTGGGGTTAATACTGGTCAGGATCTCCCAGCTGCCCAAAACCACCTTGCTGTTGGAATTCATGTCCTTAACTTTCCAATGTAATTTCAGTTTTGAGGATTTAATATAAAGAATTTTATTAACAGTTGCAGAGCTTTACAGTGGTTAGGTTCTTCAAATGCCTAGACTTGGTCTAACATGTTTAAAACAATTTCTCTAAAATTCAAGAAATATCTTTGAGGAAATTGGGCAGGAATGCAATTTTGCACATCTTTTTTTTTTTTTTTCTTTCCCAATAACAGTCTCAGAATTATTAATCAGTACTCACTAATTTTCTGGGCTCCATATTATAGCTTGAATTATGTCCTCTCCTTTCCCCAAACAAATTTACTAAACATTTTTGGGAAATAAATGCAAACAGATGAAAACTTATTCTTCTCAGTTCTTTCAGCAAAATCAGGCTCCTGAATATTACTCTTCTTTTCAAAAAGTCAGAAGAGTGTAAAACACAATTTTAAAGTTTCTGAAAAACAGCAAGGAAAGAAAAAGAAAAAGAAAAAGAAAAAGAAAAAGAAAAAGAAAAAGAAAAAGAAAAAGAAAAAGAAAAAGAAAAAGAAAAAGAAAAAGAAAAAGAAAAAGAAAAAGAAAAAGAAAAAGAAAAAGAAAAAGAAAAAGAAAAAGAAAAAGAAAAAGAAAAAGAAAAAGAAAAAGAAAAAGAAAAAGAAAAAGAAAAAGAAAAAAGAAAAAGAAGAAGAAAAAGAAAAAAGAAAAGGTTTATTTAGTCAAGAATTTCTTAAGTATGTGGAAGAAGTTCCCTTCCAAAATGTTAACATAGCTTCTAACACTCCCTCTTACAGCTGAAAATCTCCACTCTTCTCCCTCTTTCCTCCCCAAAAGCTGAAGTGTATGTGGAAATTCATTTCACTGAACAAGAATTTAGAGTGAAAAATACCAGTACAAACACCTGAAACACCCCAAATCTTCCATTTCTTTTCCACAGTAAATTAGTTTTTCTCCATTTTTTCTTCAGGGCTTCTTTCACCTCCTTATTCCTCAAGCTGTAAATGATGGGATTCAATAAAGGAGTCAGCACAGAATAAGAAAGTGAGAGGAATTTATCCACAGATGCACAGTAGGTGGATTTTGGCCTCAGATACACAGAGCCTGCAGTGCCATAAAACAGAGTCACAAGCAAGAGGTGTGAGGAGCAAGTGGAAAATGCTTTCTGCTGGCTCTCAGCTGATGCCATGTGAAGAATTGTGGAAATTATATGAATATAAGAATAAAGGATCAGTAAGAAAGGGCTGAGAATAGCAAAGACAGCCACCACAATGACCTGGAGCTCTCTTGGGAAGGTGTTGCCACAGAGCAGGTCCAGCAGGGGCTGAATCTCACAGAAGAAGTGGTCGATGGTAGAGCCACACAAGGGTGAGCTGAAGGTTATGAGGGTGTGAATTAAGCCCACAGCAGCCCCACAAATGTAACTCCCAGCAACCAGGCTCCTGCAGACCCTGCTGCTCATGATAACTGTGTAATGCAAGGGGTGGCAAACTGCAAAATAACGATCGAGGGACATGGCAGCCAAGAGAAAACATTCAGCAACCCCGAAGAAAAGGAAGGAAAACATTTGCATTGCACATCTTGTCCTGGAAATACTTACTGTTCCCACCATCAGGTTCTCCAGAATGGTTGGGATAATGACTGATAAATAGCAGATATCCAAACAGGACAGCTGAGTGAGGAAGAAATACATCGGGGTGTGAAGGGTGTTGTCAGTGTTTATTGTGAAAGCTATCACTGTGTTAGCCATCAAGGTGAGAATATAAAGAGACAATAAAACTACAAAGAGCAAAGGGTGCAAATGAGACATTCCAGAAAAACCCAGGAGTCTGAATTCACTCAGTCCACTGAGGTTCCCAAGGATCATCCTTCTTTGGTGCCTTGTAGAACTCTTTGTTTTAGATGAAGCTGCAAACAGCCAGGCAAATCTGCAATCAAAAACAACTGCCTGCCTGAACAGACAAAAGGATGACTGGAATTTATGTGAAAAGATCTTCTGAACAGATTATAAAAATGTCTAAAGAAAATAAGGCAGCCTTATGCCTTTATTTTTGTCTCTATTTTTGACAGATTCTTCTTTCATGGCATTGCCTTCAAAGCTTGCATATTCACTACTGTCTTCAAATGCTCAGCTAGCATTTTTACCCTGTAGAAAAAGAAAAAAAATTATGGCAGACATCTTTTTATGGGCTAATCAGTTCAAGTGCCAAAATCATCAGTAGCAATATTTGAATAAAACAAAGGTAATTTCTCTTTTACCTGTTGTGCAGTGTGGTGGAAGACAAGGAAGGGAAAAAAAACCCTAAATTATGAGGTCTCCAGAAAAGCTTTAAACTCTGAGCACTCTGCAGTGAAGCAGAAGAGAGGCTTTTCCACAGCTCTTTATACTGTATTTATGTGTATTTATAAAGTCCACTGAGACTGGCTAGTGCTGATTGGAGCAATAAGGAATGGTTGTTAGAGGCTGGATAAACATGATGCATGTGTTTGAGTTGACTCACAGCCGCCTCTAGTTTTACATAGCTTGGAAAGCATTTCTATACACACCCAGATATCTACAGAAATATCAAGATCTGGTTTTACTTTGCAGTAATTACTATTACTTCATAATGCAGCCAAATTAATTACAGAGTTGCCACACAGGCTTATAATACTTCTGCTTTCTCAATAAAATGTGAAGGTGAAGCAAAGATGCAGTCCACATTCATCTGGGGATAAGGGACAAAATATTCACTCATTAAAAATCTTAATTTTTATTGTATTCTATTAAAATATCTTTTTTATTTAGCTGTTGTTTGGTTTATTGTGTGGCTTCTTATTCAGATCCATCAGCAACCCCACATTGTTTCTCTCACCACCATGCCCCTTTCAAGGCCAAACAGATTGATTAAAAGTTGAATTACTGGCTGATACTCACATTTCCAGTGTTAAGACATCTCATTCAGTCTGATCCTTTTTCCCCTGGCTGTAGGACTGTATTTGCCACTTTTATCCTTAGTAACTGACTCTGGAGTGGCCTCTGCATCACATCATATCCTGTGAACAGCAGAAAGTGATTTTATAGGGAAGAACCACCTAATGTGATGTGTCTTCTGTATGGTGACAGCTTGAAAGTGCAGTATCTTTGTTTAATTAAACAGAAATTATTATCCACAGAGGAAAATCTCTGAGAAATCTGAAGGACCTCTGTGATGGTATGATATGTTCTCCCATAGGAGGCCTTTCCCGCACCATTAATTAGGAAATAATAAAACCAGAGTTAGACATGAGTTATGCACATGTTCTTTCCTCCTGCAAAACCTTTAAAGCCATTTTCCTGTTTCTCTTTGTAGTTTGTCTCCACATCAAATTTTTATCCCTTAATTCAGGCAAGATCAGGCCCAAGACATGAAAGGTCAAAACATAACAGATTCAAATAGACATGCAAGTGCTCTGTAGGTCTTTCTTTACAGTTTGTTCTAACAGGAGAACGAGGGAAAGAGTTGTGCTGTACCTAAACAATGAGAAGAAAATAACTGACTCCTCCAACTGCAGCAGCCAATACCCACCAGACTCTTTTCCTCTGGGAACACAGATAGAAATACTTCAGATTTGTGATGTGGCTTTTCCAAAAACATTAACCACAGATTTCTCCTACTGGCAGGTGAGCTACTTTATTTTATTTCATTCTTCTGTCTCTTCTTCCAGATGTTATTGTCCTCTGGCACTTACAAAGGTAGGACTTCTCTTTCAGGGAGATTTACAGCCTAAAAAGTAAAGTAAAAATGAAAGTAAAAATGGATTATTGGAATAGAAGATCAATACCAAGATATTTTTGTATTCTTGAAAAAAAACCTGCTACACCTGAAACATGCCTGGGACAAATGTTATTTTCTGGGGTGCAATCTACATTATTTAGTATTTTTTGCGTGGTACTGTGGAGAATATGTGGGATTATCTGTGTTCACTAGGTAATTCTTTCCTGGAATGGACCCCATCCAGAGAATGATTGCCTGAACTCAGATATTAAAGTGTGGTTTAGGGTTACTCATCAAATGTCTCTATTCTCCATGTGTTGGGTGTGTAGACAACTTTGTCCGAAGGGATTAAAGATGGCAAAGCAAATATATTTATATAATAAAATGAAGTATTTATTTAAACTTATTGCAATGATTAAGCAAAATAATTTGATCAGAATTATTTGCTACATAGCATAGGTAGCCATAACTACCAGTAAAGTATACTGCACTATTTTTGAAGCAATAGAGAAGCAATTATATTAAATGTAGCAAAACAATTATTAAGTAGAGATTGATGTTACCCATGCAACAAGCATGAGCAAACCTATTTTGCTCAGCCATGAGAAGTGACCTCAAGGGGCTTCCCTACTCAAGGGAGGGATCTTCACACACCTTAGGGAGGGGTGCTAGAAGCTCTCACCACGCAAAAGTGGGACTGCCCTTCTACAGCATGATTGGTTGCCAGTCTGATACATTTTTAGATTTTGTGTTGCCAGGTTTATTCAGTAAAATATGCTTTGCTGCTGAAAAAGGTGTTGGAAGCTCTTTGGTTTCTTCCACGTGACGCTTGTGACTCTCACTTCCATGTGAAGGCCTGGACATGCCTGCTGCTCCTGCCCTCAGATCAGGGAGTGTCTGTTTGCATGGTATTAGAAATGATAGAACTTCACAAATATATTTTCTAATGAATAATTTTAATTAAATTTTCTAATTACTTGTTTTAATTAATCATAACCAGTGTATTTTTTCTCTCTGTCATATGCCACTGTAGCCAACATTCAGCAAGGTTTGTCATAAGCTGCTACAGTGGGAACACAGCTTGGGAAAATTCCTGAAGCTTTAAGTTTTGCTAGAATAACTGTAATCAACTTTGATATGCTTCAATGGTCTCAGACCTGGAAGAGGGATCTGTTGCTGAAGCTGGACACAAGGAATGCAGAATTTATGAGCCATTGTGCAGAACCCTGAGATAAAGAGGGAACTAACAAAGACAATTCAGCAGTTGCACTGTAATCCCATTGTCCTGGTTTCAGCTAGGGTAGAGTTAATTTGTTCTTTAGTTTCTTCTTTAGCTGTGGTTTGGATTCGGAAAGAGAATGGCATTGATAATGCACTGAAGTTTTAGGTTTTGCAAAGTCATATTTATCCTGAGTCGAGGACTTTTTGTTTCCCCATCTTCTGCTCTGCCAGTGAGGAGGTTCCCAAAAGAAACTGGGAGAGAACCCAGCTGGGACAGGTGACCTGACCTGCCCAAAGGGACACCCACACCCTCGAACATCATTCCTGGAATTTAAACTGGGAGGAGCTGCCCAGAAGGGCAGCTGATCTTGGTTTGGGAAGGGGGCTCTGGCATCAGGCAGCAGGTGGTGTGCAATTTCATTGTGCATCACTTGTTTGGTCCCTTTTCATTATCATTATTAATTACTGCCATTGTTGTACTTGACTTTATTTTCAGATATTAAACTGTTCTTAATTCAACAGACAAGTTTTACTTCAAATCTCTTCCCCATTCCACCAGTGTGGGGAGGAAGAAGAGGTGGCTGAGCAAGCAGCTGCGTGGTGCTTAATTTCCATCTGGGTTTAAAACACGATACCTCTCTCTATCTAGGAAAAAGATAATAAAAAGACCGAAAATATGGACTAATTAGCGTGACAAGCAAGAAGTCAATAACCAATAGAAGACAGAAAACTAATTAATGAAGAGCATTATGCAATTTATAGCCAATAAACATTAATTTCTTGATTTGCTAAAATGTATAAATAATGCAAAGTTTTGAAAGAGCATGTGCATGTTTAGAGGAGCACTGTAATAATGTGTGCTTTCTAAAAGCAGCATTAGAAAGCTTAATTTATCCTGATGTTTTCTGTGACAGTGGTGGGTGTGACAATTTGATCAAGCTGCTCTCAGTGTCCTTCAACACTAAAAACAGGAGATGCTCCTTGCTGAATTCCTGGTAAGGTGTAAACAGCTGGAGCTGCTGTGTCCCTGCTCAGGCAGAGCGTCCTGCTCCAGCTGGCACTCCCTGACTGACAGCCCATCCCTCCAGACTGTAAAAGCCCTGTCCCACTCTTTAGCAGGACACACTTTAACACCCCCCTTCTCAGAGTGTGGAGATTCCTCCCTTGAGTGGGGACACCCAGCAGGGTTTCACTTTGAGACTGAGAAAAAGAGACTTGTTCAGGGCCTTTGGCAAGGGTGAGTAATGTCAGTCTCTACTTAACATTTCTTTTTCCACCTTTAATATAATTGCTTCAGTATTGCTTCCAAATACTGAGCTATATTAGTAGCAATAACTATTTACACTGTGGAATAAAGAATTCTAATTAAAACCTGTAAGTTTAGCCATTAGAATCATCATTATCCATTTAAATAAATCGTTCCCTCATGTTTGAGAAGGCATGTACAAAACAAGGACACCTTTGCTAAAAAACGCAGCGCTAATCTTCCATTCTGCTTCAGCCAGGGCCACAACCTGACTGCAGCACTCCCAGGGTGCTCCGAGTGCTTGTCTGACACGCATCTCTGGGGCGTGGAAACCCTCCTCTTCCTCGCTGAAGGCTGGTGGGCTGTGCACAGCACAAAGCGGCTGCGGAGATCGTAGCCCGGCTGTGGGAATCTCCTCTGCTCTCTCGGCCTGGGAGCCCTGAGCACATGAACCTGCTTCAAGCTGGTGTTGGAGGGCCCTGAGGCTGCATTATCCACTGGGGCTTTTTCACAGCGTGGAGGACTCGTTCTCCCCCTGTTCTTCTTGCCCAGAGTGGGGTGGAGGGTGCGCTGCACAGAGCGGCTGCGGCGGTCACAGCCCCACCGCGGGGATCTCCTCTGCTCCCTCCACCTTGCTGGGGCTTGCTCTCCATCAGCCTTGAGTATGGCAGCCTGCTTCAAGCTGGTTCTGGAGGGCTCTGGAGCTCCTCTATGGACAGGGGTTTGGTCATGACATGGAGAATTTGTTGTCTGCCTCCTCCTCCTCCTCGGTGAGGGCTTGTAGTCGGTGTGCTGCACAAAGCGGCTGCGGAGGTTGTAGCCGCCCCACATGGATCTGCTCATCTCTCTCTGCAGGGCTTGCTCCAGAGCAGCCCTGGGGGCACCAGCCTTCTGCAGGCTCCTCTTGGAAGGCCCTGAAGCTGCACCATCCCTGGGAGAATGGCCATAACTGGGAGGGCCTGTTTTCCTCCCTGTGGAGTGGTCACAGTCCGTGGTGTCCGTGGTCAGCTGCGGCCATCCCGGCCCCACAGCGGGGATCTGCTCCAGGCCTGCTCCCTGCTCCCTGCCAGCATCTTCCACATCCATGTCCTGCAAAGAGAGCTGTGGAGAGTTCCTGCCCTCCTCTCCTGAAAGGGCCAGAGTCAGTGGGGAACCCCCAGAATTGCTGGGAGGGGACATTTCAGAGCCTCCCAAAGGCTCTTCTGGAGGACTGCCAAGGCCAAAGGTGCACAAATGGGATGGATCCAGGTGGGATGTTTGAGAGGAAGAATGCTGCAGGGTGGGAGGGGAAAAAGAAGAAATGCTGAGATCCTAGAGAGAAATCCACTGCTCTTCTGGTGCCCTCACCCTCCTCCCCAGAGTTACCTTAATCCTGCCAGGCAAACCCTGAGGGCCAATAGAAGCCACCTTCTTGCTGCTGCCTGCCCAGTGATTGAGGAAGGAAGGGACATATGGTGGTGTCAGCGAGGAAGAAGCCCTTTCTCCAATCTTCAGATCACAGCAT